ACCGACGTTTCGGTCAACCGTGACCATGGGACCTGTAAAGGGCCCGAAACGTCGGTTTGTTTGAAAAAACAAATATACGCGATTTAAATCCGGAAAAATAGTTTCATTTCCTATGTGTAACAATCGCGAAAACCTAAGAACTCGATATCTATACAATTGTTTGCAAAGTAATAGATCAAATTGAATACCATCGAGAAACCTTCGATTTGTTTTTAACGACAGAAATGTTTTCATCAATTTTCATAATTCGATACCTCCAATGAACACTACGCCATCTTTATTTTTTGGTCGTCTTCTGTTATTTTTGTAAACAGCCATATTTATTTGCCTTAGTAAATAAATATGGCTGTTTAATATAAATATAATCTTAGTTGTGCTCCCCGAATTCTGTGAAAAAAAGAAACAAGAACAAAAAGAAACGAATTTTGTAAAAAAAAAAGAAACAAAAAATAAAAACAGAACAGGTTCAAAAATTAAGTTGGCTTAGTGTTCATTGGAGGTCGATACCTCCCTAATTGTAAATTAATTTAAATTTCAACATTCCCAAAATGTTGTCATTTCTTTTTTATATTTTCTTTTCTTTCACTTCTTAATTATATTATCTTAGCATCTTAATATGACATCTCAAATTTTTGAGATTCAGTACTTCTTATTTAGTTATTTTATTCAAGTATCTCCGCCATCTACAGTCTTAAATATATATTAAAGTTAATTTGTATGACTCAATAAGTATTAATGACATAAGACAAATATGGTAACTCCATACAAACGTAGCAGCGCGACTTGTACGTGTGTATGGACGCACACATTCAAATAATCTCGCGGTGCGCTCGTAGTACGTGTGTATGGACGCACACATTCAAATAATCTCGCGGTGCGCTCGTATTGCACTGCACAGGTCATCGCACGCGCCATTCATTATAAAATAGAAGCGGTCGCTCGGTATTAAAAATAGTACTAACAGTAGCCATGTTTATCGTTGTTTGTGATAGTTTGAACAAGACTGAATAATCAAGAAACCAATTCGCGAAGCAGGTATATTAATAAGTGAGTAAGTATGAAAATCAATTACTGTCCGCTTTTCTAAACTTTTAAATCTAGATGAGCTATGTAAACAGGCATAAGTTTTTTTACTTACTTCGTTTCATCTTTCAAAAAACGAAAGAAACCCTCTTTTAATCCTGTTTAGATGATTAAAACAGCCGTACACAGCACAATTCACGACCATTCTAAATAGTACACAAAATGATGCAAAATGTATATTAATGCACAAAGTTCGTAATGAAAATATGAAAACTATATTCAAATATCAAAGTCGTCTCAGAGCGAAAACGGCTCGCCGACAGCCTTGTTCTCGTTCAGTCAATGTGACCGTCAATGTGCGGGCCGTGGTGCGGTACTGAAAGCTAGGGAGGAGCGGAGAGTGTCCGTTCTCATTACTTATTTGTTCTCTGATATTGCATCAACAAATATTTCAATTCTCGCCTCGCCCATCCTCGTTAATCCACATCATTTCCACCGAAGATGCGCTAGGAATTAAAATTTTACCAAACAAATTTTAATCGTCGTCTCGCCGGTGGAAAAGCATCTTTATTATATTAAGGTTGGCATGACCTCGGTGACCCAGCAGAGGCGCAGGTTATTAGATCCCTTTCTAAATTGGTTCTGACCTGGTTAGTGCTCTAGCTCATTGCACGGGTACCCGTACTAGTAAAGGGAATTCACTAGTTTATGATTAGGGCTTTGGTGCAGTTGTTTGGCACGTTATTCAAATGTTTTAACTTGACAAGCCGGAATAAACTTTACAAATAACACCTAAACGCACGATAGTAAAAGAAAGTAATTCTTTAGTCACACATAATTTTTTAATTCCACATGTGAATAGCATCAATTGAGGCAAACATCAATTGAAGTTATTTTTAGTAGAGAGTGTTACCAGTTCGTAAAAAAAATATATAGAAAATGTCGTTTTACTTTACGACAGCACGCATTTGCATAATATGTAAAATTCAAAATTGAAATTAACATGGCTTGTACTTATTGATGTTCTCAAAAAAGGCCGGGTATGAAAAGATTGATAGGAGGAGGCGAAGGAGGTTTCTCAGGAGCGTAGCAGGTGAAGGTCCATCGGCACTGCCTACCCCGAAGGGAGACAGGCGCGATATGTATATATGCATGCGTATTTTGTACTTTTGTTATACGCAACCCATTAGAACTTGATTGTGTTTGCCCGAAACGACGCCATTATCACCATGGACAAATGGTTGTGGATATCAATTAATAACTCTTTAATATGAAATATAAAAAATCAGTTTTTTTTCTAGTAATATTATTCAAATATCGACCACTCAGCTAAAATTATTTGACAAACAAGCGTGTCAATAGATGGCATTGTGTTACAAAATGATTTACTAACGCTTGCTAATATGAGTAGATGGCGCTAATACTAAACAAAATAAAAAGATAGCCGGCAGTATCCATAAAAATCTGTGCAATAAGCGCCATCTAGTTGATTTGTTTGTTATCATTGGAAATTAAAGTAGCTTTGATAAATTGCTGCTCCTCAATGTAAAACAAATTAAGTACAAAAATAGCTATACGTACTAAACACCCGACTACGCTGTCTTGTACCGCGATTAGCAGTCGCCTTGAATTATTGATCCATGTTATCATTCAACTTTTAAGAATCAATTTTATGGTAATCTTTCGCATCAGCAAGATACTCGTATTATTAAACATTTCTATAAATAATTGCTTTAGCAAAATGGGTCTTATATAAACAAAATCAGTTTTATAAATATCGCAAAAGCATATTTAACACAATTTCAAAAGGCCGCAACGTGCGTCAAAGCGTAAAGCAACTTTGGTATAAACAATTATACATCTTTATGTATTTACTAGGTGGTGTCCGTGACTTCATGCCGTCATGCCTGACGGAAAGAAGAATGACTTCAACCATTGACTTACAATTATATGGACGTCGGGTCCGCGCTAAAAAGTGTCCGAACTTATAGGGCGTTAAAATCGTATACAGAGCGTCATTCACGCTTTAGTCTTCGTTTGTTCGACTGACAGCGAAGCAAGCAAAATTAGACAGTACTGCGATGACATTACAATTTAAATTCAACGTTTTAGCTTTCTCGTATTCCTTTACATGTCACTACGTTTAAATAGGTTGACTTGGGACATTTTTTTCGTGGTTTTTGTATTAGACCCGTCGTCCATCTATTTGTAAGTCAATGACTTCAACGATCTTTTAATTTCGATTAAACGTTGTAGTATAATTGTGGCCAAAGAACGTTGTTATCAGAGTACAATTTTTTTTTGCTTTCCTACAAATATACCAATGAGTATACTTAATGTATAATAATCGTATTAGTCGTATACCACCTGTAACAAATAACATACCACACAACTCGTTGCAAGATTTAATAAAACTCGCACAAAGCAAGTTTTGAACCACAGAGCTGGGCGAATGTTTGTCCGTAATAATTGATTTCGCAGTGCTTCCAGCGGTCGGTTATCAAATGAGATAGCGGGCATGCGTGTATCTTATTATTTAACTTATTATATAACACATCAACAAAAACTTACGGACGGAACAAAAAAGGCGCAAATAATATATACAGTAGCATACTATAGTACTGCCACCTTACTTATTTCTGTCGCTAAGCAGTAATGTCAGCATTACTGTGTTCCGATTCTGAAGGGTGAGGGTGCTGGTCAAATTACAGGCACATGGGACTTGTTAACTCATGACTCAGGGTGACGGGCGCAGTGGCAGTGCCCCTCAGATCTCTGCGACTTGAACTGTTATGGACAGGCGTGTAGCTTACCATTCGGCTCACGACTTGTTCGTCCCGTCATTTGATATTATAAAAAACAAAATATACAGGGTGTAATCGTTAAGTATGTCCACGCAATTGTTAATATAAGAGATATAATATTAGTTTAAAAACCTTTAAACTAAAATCGAAATAATATATTAATAACATAAATGTAATAAATATATAATCATACATATAACCAACAAACCTAATGTATACATATTTATATATGATACATACAATAACAGAAGATGATGATGGTGATTATCGCTGTGACAAACAATTTAAAAGATGCTCATGGACATTCTTTTTGAAAGAGAATAAACTAGGAGACCTCCTGATGGAGTCCGGGAGCGCATTCCAGAGACGTGTTCAATGGAGAGTGAAAGAATTAGACATGAAGCCAGAATGAAAGAGAGGTATAGACAGTGAAAGAGATTTAATGGATCCAAGGGGGCGGTTGTAAGTTGACGTCACTTACTTTAAAAAAAAAGCATTAATCAAGTATTAGGTAAGTAAATCTTCGCTCATTGGGCGCATTTGTAACGTAACCAAGTAGGACGTACAATCAACTTGAGCCGGTCAGAAATGGAAGTCCGTGCAATAAAAGCGAAAAGGCCGTTACACATTTCGCTACCGTTTGAACTACCAACGACTTTTTCGCTGTTATTACACGGATATAAAACTATTTCTTGTCGACTTAATGACAAGCCGTGTCGTACAGTGTGACTCCTATATCCAGCTTTTAAAATAGTGACATCTGCGTTTTCTCATGTTAATTAACTTAACACCAGACTTACAAATCGTATATTATATTCATTTCATTATAAAATTAAGCATTTCCTCCAAAAAAGTGAAAATGATCAAATTGTTAGTTTGGCCCTCATACTTAGAACCCATCGATATAGTCATTCTTATTTCTACACAGTTCCAATATACGAGTATGTATATAATTGAAATAATTTAATAATGTCTAATATATTTCTTTATATATAACTCCGATGTTAATAAGAGCTAAATCATAAAACAACTTGACTTAAAAATGCATAAAGCTAGAGTTACGACGACAAAAACCCACACGACTTTGTTTCCGCAACTTCATTAAGGGTTATCAATACAAGTGCTTTGTTCACAGATTCTGATAATTCGGTCTATCACAACACAGATAAGCAAAAGTTAATAAATTACGATAACGATAACAAAAAATCGACCTATCAAAAATAGTGCGGCATTATTGATTATGTACGGTTCCATAGGTGTAATAAAATTAAAACCACTTAAACAAATAAAATACTGTAATATAGTAATGGAAAGTTCAAGTGCACATTTAACCGATTGGCGTGTGTGAAAGCGCTTATGAGTGTTGATGAGGCGAAGATACGTTGTCAGGCACATCGGGTCTTTGCCTACATCGATGGGAAAAGGGCCTCAATGTAGATTAATAATGACAATCTACGGCGACCTAACGGCATGCACTGTGGGCACTGGAGGAGAAGGTCCCGGGTTCGATTCCCGGTAGGATCAATTTGAGAAATGGACTTTTTTAAATTGGTTCTGGGGGTCGATTCACAACCTTACGATAACTCAGTTACCGACCGATTCGATTTGATATAGACGTGTGTCGATTGTGATCGATAGAATCAAAATGATTCGAACAGCAACTGTGACCCGATAACCCGAGTTGCTAGCTTCTAAATAACCCGATCATTTCAGAGTTTCATGGGTCATGCGCGCAATATTCGACTTTATTACAATAATTTCAGATATTATTCAACGATTCACAATATTATTTTTGTCTCGTTCACTCTCACGTGAAATCCCACTCACGACACGGTTCGCCTTCGCACTCTTCGTTTGGTTCCATCGAACATTTGTTCGATGGAACCTTCGTTCGATCGAACCAAAAAGTCAAGCAGTCGATCAACGAGTCAACGGGTCAACGGGTTAACGGATCAATAACTCTATCAATCATTCATAGCGTAATGTCCATTACATGGTAATTTTGTAAGTATAATCTGTTTTTCGGTATGTTGTGTTTATTTATGAGTGCACTAGCTATTATAAAAATATTAATGAATAATAAATAAGTAATTTTAAATGTTCATAAGCTTTTTGTTACGTATTTGTGTTTTGTAGGGGTTACTTTTCCTGAAAGAAATTTTAGTATGGTTTATCAATGATGCACTTAACTTTATACGCATTACTTATCAGCAGAAAAGAATAAAGGCTAATTGTATAATTTGATACTTTTAAACGCCATATGGAAGTATCGTGAGCGACGGGTGACCCGCTAAAAGATCGAACATATATGTGATCAATTCATTCACCCGTCATCGGAGGTACAAAAATGTGGCACGCTCGGTTTCGATCATCTATCGGCCAATAATAATAATAACGCACACACTCAACGTAGCCCCGCACTAGGTAAACCCTGTGTCGCGGGTGCCATGGACACACACAGACAACCACAAATTACACCCAAACTCACGAGAGAAATAAATGTAGTCCATACAAATATTTCTACCAGCCCGGGAATCGAACCTGGGACCTCTGCGTGGCAGTCACGAAGGCAGTTGAGTCCAATGTTAGCATTATCTTTGAAAAGCTGCCTACTTGTTTACCTTATTGATTATCTGCTATCCTTAGACGATAGGTTTGTCTGTAAACTCTTATGCACCCTGCGTACAGATTAGGCGAATGCGTTGCAAATACGCCAGTTTGCGAAAGGTTCGCGAGCTGCATACGAGCATTTCGTTGTTCTGTTCGCGTGCCGTTCGCGCGCCACATATATTAACATGTATTGTATCTGTACGCGCCCTAATAAAGTTCTCGAAAACTGCAGATATTAGGTTTACATCAGTTTATCAAACAAACTAAAACTCAAATATATCTTTATTTCATACTAGCTGGTGCCCGCGACTTTTGTCTGCGTAGAATAAGAACTTAAATGTGAATTTTCAGATCCCTAACTTGAAAAATGACTGGTCCTTCATATAAACTTTCACCTCATATTTCGGAACCTTTAAGGTTTTTTTGTTTTGTGGAAAATGTAAGCTATGTCCTTCTCCTAAGTTCCATCTACCTCTATACCAAAATTCATAAAATTTGGTTCAGAATTAAGGCGTGAAAACGTAATAGACCAGAATTACTTTCGCATTTATAATATTAGTTTGGATGGATGTACTCGATGAAATTTTTATAGGATAATTTATTTAGTTCTTTTTTAACTGATCGATAACAAGTTTTTAATTAATTTTTACAAATATTAGTATAAATTAAGGCCACTTTACAATATATCAACATACAATACTAAAAGGTCCGCTGACACTGGACCAGAAAGATGTCTACAGTGTCACGTGGATTAGTCATGGTAGAACACGTTTCTGGTTTGACAGTATAGGTTTCTGTTTAATGGAGCAGCAAGTATGTAGAAAAGAGTAGCTATACCCCCGAAAAGTTTACACAGGTTTTAGCACAGCTGCCTGTTTACAATTACAAAGTAATTGCAGAGAAATATAATGTTTTTTTTTATTGATAATCCAGAAACAAAAATCGTGTTACATAATTAAAAAATCTTACCCTCGTCTTTGGCACAATCTTAAGGCCTATTTTGGAGTCGACGAGACTGGCGCCGGCCTCCGACAAGTAGCCTTGGTTGGGTATTAGGCAAGAACGACCGAAGCAGCACGGACAGCAAAGCTTGTGCATCCATTTCGTCCATTTAGGGTTCAGCCGCCCGTAAGGTTCTTCATCTTTAGGCTTGAATACGCCGATTATTTTCTAGAAAATTACAAAATTAACGTCAACATAGGAAAGTAACACCACCCGCGCTGTTTGTTTCTGGGATGGTTGGTCTGGAGTCACTTGTACTTAGGCGAAATTTTACTTAGAGCGATGTCCAACTGAAACGAGTTGCGTCGGCGTTACTAACGATTGAGGTGGTCTTAGTAAAACTAACATGGATTTTTTTTTCCTTTAATCAGCAATTTAGTCTTCAAACTAAATAAATATAATATCAGTGCACTACGCCATTGACCCGCCATTGCAGAGCAGAATACCAAAAAATTGCAATGGCAGTTGAGCGAACGAGTCGAACGAACGAATGGCTCGATTAACTTTAAGCGGAATACCGATTGTACAAGATCCTGCCATTGACACTCTGACGACACACAACTGAGATGATTTAAAATTAGTAGACTTGGGGCCCTGATCGATGACGCTGAGTTGTAATACATATAAATTAGACGGCGCGCGGCGACGGAACGCGTGCACAAGGGGACAGGAGACGAAGCGGGGAGGCGTGTTGCGGTGCGTGAGTAAAGCTCTAGACAGACAGACTGCATTTTAACTGCACTCCGACGCTATACGGACGCTATATAGATGACGCTGATAATGCACTGGCAGCGCCCTTGCCCACTACTGATATTTTTCTATTTTAGAAGACTGGGTTTATTACACCTTACAAGAATTCAATTACCGACCACCAGGACGATTGTCTTGTCGAATGAGTTCCTTGCACTTTACACTCCTACTTACTTACACACAAGAGGTTTTATGAGCAGGTATTTACACTATTATCACCAATACAATGTTACCGACATACCAAGTAAGAAAAACATTCTCAAATTTTCCTTGCCCCGACATTGTCGGATGATAATGTCTGCTCCCGGTTTGGTGCTGTATGCATGTGAACATACTCCAAACCGGACTAACCACAGGCTGGACAAATCTGAGCAGCCTCAGTAGTAAGAGCATCACAGTTAAGGTATACCACTTTTAATAGGTGTTTTCAAAAGTCAAATTATATTGATCAAATTCAAACCATTTTATTTCATAGGTAAGCAAATTACACTTGAATTCGTCGTACTAATTAAACTGTATCACTCATTCGCAAGGCAGAGCCCCTGAGAAAAATTAGCAAGAAACTTTAGGGGTCGTATTCTAGAACTCGTCTCAATGCTCAAGTCAGGATTTGAGTATGGTTTAAAGCACTCGAAATCATACTCAAGTCCCCGCCATTAGTGTCGTATTTCCAGTGCAATCCTGACTTGAGCATTGAGTAGAGTTCTAGAATACGACTCTGAGTGTTGCTCTTTTAAAATACATTTGAATACATTTAACATTTATAGTCTGTCTTTTTTGAAGACGGAGTAAAATGACATTTGTAGGGTTGCCAGTTTTCATAAACTTAAATAGTTATGAGTCGTTTTCAGATAACCTCCAAAAAAGTGTCACTTTCAATAACTTTTATGTTATTACATGAACGCTAAGCGTTATTTATTTAATATGATTGCTTGCTTATTTAGTCTGTGTTACACATAAAAAGACTACTTTACTACGTCACAGTAATAATTAAAAATTGAAAAAGTGGGCAATTACTCATTCATGGGAGCCGGTTCCACGTCGCCCTAATTTTAAGAAAAGAAGAAAAAAAATAAACGCTCGTGGAAATCGCAATATTTCCCATCGAGGATAAACTCTAATAACTTTCACGTCGAATACAAACCGTAACTTTCCAATTTATTATAAACAAACATGTTTTCTTGGGAATACAAAATGTGTTTCAATTTTTCTTATCATTAGCGTCACTTTAACTAAAAACCCCCTAATAACAAAAGTTAACACCGAATCACCTTCACGCTTCGCACACGTGAGAAGGGGCTCCTGTCGGATTGGAGTGTACACAGTGAAGTAACCTGTGCATCTCCGTTTTAGCAAAAAATCAACTTAAATACCAATTTCAGCGCTAGTGACTAAATCGTTCTCATTATTGTAAAGCAATCTATCTAAATAAGTATTAAGTAATCGTTTTATAAACTTTATTGTACATCAATCAGACAAAGGAACTTTAAAATCCATGCACTTTTATAACGGTCCAGCATATTGTAGACACTTGACAATTAAAAATATATCCAAATATCATTATTGTCGCTCTCATTCTTGTCTACGTTTAAGTCAAATAGTTACTTTAAGCCAAACATTTACTTGAAATATAACAATTAGATGGTGATAGTGGTGGTGATGACGGTGGTGACGATGGTGATGGTGGTGATGATGACGATGATGGTGGTGGTGATGATGACGATGATTGTGATGATGATGTGAATGGTAATGATGCTGATGATAATGGTGATCATGATGATGATGTTGATGGTGGTGATGATGATATATTGATGTACAACAAAGTTTATATGACATTAACAAAATACTTCTTTAGATTTATTTATTAATTACATATAGACACACAATCTATCTATCTATTCTAATAATCTATCTAATATATAAATAGTCTATCTAGAAGTTACATTAAAATATTTGTTACGTGTTCTTTTTTAAACGATTAAATGTGTGTTGTAATAATAATTTCTCATTACTGCGCCGTCTTTCTCATTTATGTTTATGAGAAAATCATTCGTGTTACTGCAATCTCATTCGTGTGATCAAAAATATTTATAATTTGTTGTACTTTACTTAAATATTTCTGTGATTTCATAATTATTGACATTGCTTGAACTTATTTGTACGATTAAGACCTTAAAACCAAAAGAAAAAAGGGTTTTACAAAAATGACACAAAAAGTGCCATTGAAATGCGGAAAGTGAAAGTCACTCTTATGTAATTGCTGTCGCTAGTTTTATCGATAGATTGTGAAAGAAGATTAAGTTTTGCCAAAAATGACTGTTTGTGAATGTGTATTGCCTTGTAAACCGACTTCAAAAAAGGAGGAGGTTCTCAATTCGTCTGGAAGTTTTTTTGTATGTATGTTAGGGCGCGTTCCCACTATGTCGTCACGTTTTATTATCGTTGGACGACTTGCCCATCTCTGGCTACGACCCAACGCTACTGCAAAGCGAGCAGAGGGCGCGGGGTACGAGAGGGGAGGGCAGAGAGCAGAATACGTGCGGACAGCGATAAATAAAACGTGACGATAGTAGGAGCTGCGACAATCTGTCGTCACGTTTTTATCGTCAGATGACTGTCGTGCTAGCTGTTCCCACTGTGACGATAGTTTCTGGTTGTAACGATAAAAATAGTGAACGACAGTTAAACGTGTCGTGCTGTATGTGAACAACTTCATTTAAATATACAAGCCACGACACTGTAAACTGCACGACAATCTGTCGTCACGACATAGTGGGAACGCGCCCTTACGCAATAACTCCGCCATTTGTGAACCAATTTTGATGATTTTTTTTTTGTTGGAAAGAAGGTACCTCAGATGTGGTCCCATTTAAATTTCAAGAAAATATTCCACCTCTAAGGGTGGCAAACTAGGGGATGAATGACTTTTGAGGTCGGTTTTTTAGCCGGAGGTCAGGTTATTAATTCTTTTAACTAACAGTTGGCCTACCTATATTGAATGTAAAAGAAAAAGTTTAAAATGTGTCTCCTTTTTGTATTTTTCATAAACGTAGTTCTAAATACAGTGTATGTATGTATGAACGTACAAAAATTGACAATTGAAATGAACTTGTGCTCAGTAATTGGATGAATAATGGGTCGAGAATGATTTAAATGAAACAAGTTCAGCTATTATTCCATAAGCGTGACTATTATTCAGTCGATAGTCGATAGAATATTTATCAACTGCAATCACTAGCTGATTGCGAACTGGCAACATTTTTGCGCAATAAACTGTCATTTTACTTGTTATTTTATTTATGTCTTCAAAATAGACAGACTACACAATATTTATTTCAAAAATCTTAGATTAAGACTACCTGCAAGAGCTAAACGGGTCACTTCCACGGATTTTTATCATCCAAGTACGCAGAAGCTGTGTAATAAAAATATAACCTTTACTGTAAAGTTTTTGATTCACTATAGTTTTAAGCCTCGTAATTGGCAAATTCCGAATATCAACCGGAATCTTATTATAAAAGCTTATACAATATACATATTGCCCCTTAAATGATTTTTTGTGATCAATACAAAACAGTTTTATTTATATTTACAATTGCAAAACTTTTCTTTTAAACACATTACCATAGTAAACTAATTGTTAGTAACACATCAAAAATATGGAACAAAATATCACACATCCACAAGAATTCTTCAATCTTTTAATATTGTTGGCATTGGCTACGAATTCTAATTAGTAATTACCACAACAGATCAATTTCACGAAATTCAATGAAAACACCTTAATAATAATAACGTCTATACAGAGTGGAAGAAAATCATTAGGATAAATTTCATGGATGTCTTAAATTGAAAGATTCAATGTTTATTTGAGATATTTCATCCTTATCATTGATTCTATTTATTAGTACAATAAAATAGACAGTGTTTATTTTTTGCATTTATTTTTAATTCGATGCCCGGCTTAAGCGAGCTTTTCAACAAATCTGTGAATTCAGTTATTTGTATCAAGAAAAATAAAAGTACCTTAAAATAAAAGTCCCTTTAAGTAATATTAGCTACCTTAAACATTTAAGGTACCTAGTTAGTTCCTCTTCATGTCCCACTGAGTTTTCCCACCATACATGAAGTAATGAAAAGCATTTACATTTATATTTTCTACACTTGGCAAATATTCTATTACGCAATATCTTAAGATGTGTATTAACTGTTACTTTATACTTGAATTATAAAAAATTCAACTTACCCCACCAGGGTTCTTGACAAAGTAAGAACCACTGGAACCTTGATATATCCGCTCAGGGTATATGCCATTATCGATTGCCACTTCCGCCTGCCACACCAGCTCACTGAACTGTGGATCATCTGTAAAAACACAAGGTAGGTAATGCTTAACCAAGACCATTTAATCTGTGGCACATGGTGTCCTTAACGATTTTGGTACAGTAACGTCCTAGAGCCACGCGGTGGCTCCAACGCGCAGCTGTTTTTCCATCCACGATTTTTTTTTAATTTGCAATTAAAAAAAAAATTTTACATAGAAAAATACCAAAATCGTTAGGGACACTGTGTGTCTCTACGACGCGTGACGGGTTTGAATGACAACTGTGGTGGTTTTAATCGAAGCTATAACAAGACACATGTAAAAATCGTGCACATTCTGTCTGTTTGAGATTTATATGAATTTGCTCAGATGGCCATAGTTAATTTAGTGAAGCCGTATCCAGGTGTCCTAGACACCTGGATACGGCTTCACTAAATTAAAGGAAATTTGCTTAAATTACACAGAGGCCAAGCAAAAAAGTGAGTTGTAAAAAGTGTATCCATCACTACATTCAACTGGATTGCATCATATTTAAATTTTATTTTGTAAGCAGCAAGAAATAATTTTGCAACATTTTATTATTAACTTCTATATAAAAAATGTTCACCAAGTCCATGTTGAGCAATTCATTGCATTTTTTATTTATTGCAAAGCAAAAAGAAAGAGGTGGCAGGTACCTAGAAATCACTTAAACAGAGAGTATCCTGTGCCATATACATATGGATTCAAGACATCTTTTGTTGTGTTTTAACCTACTTAATCACGTCACAATAAGGTAGACATTTATTTATCTATTTTTATTTCACATTTTTAGGGAAAGTAATAGCTAACATTTTTTATTCAATCCCTTTTCATTGAATGAAGCTTAGTAGATAGGCACATGTCCATCTTTACAGTACAAATGGACGTAACTTAGAATTTTGACAAATGAACATTTTTAGTTTTTTAGAGGTTTCATAATTGATGATGAAAGATTAAATTATGTTTTGATCTCAATGTGCACTCGTGAACAAAAAGTTATTGACATTATCAATTTAATTTCTACTGGCCACCTACTGAAGTAAAACAATTTTCATACTAACTGGTTACCTTATCAGTCATAGTCAGCCATAAAGTATTTATGTTTGATCATAAGTATTTCAACAGTATTTTTATATTGTTGATATAAAACAAATATTTGTTTATATATAAATAATTATTTATGACAAAATTTATCAATGCTCTAAAAAAATTAAAATTTTAGTTTCCCAGCAAAAAGACTGCAGTATTTAAATGACATGTTTTCCTCTTCTGGATGACCTCTATTGCACTCTAATCTACATATGGTAAACACCCGACTTAAAGTGACTCTGGGAAGCGCTGTTTCCTTGTTAAACGATTCAATGTAAAGCATTGGCGATTGGTTACACAGTTGTGAAGGCATGTATCATTTTGATCGCATGATATGACTTTGATCACAGGCTATTCAGTGTTCTCTTATTATTACGTAATGGACAACTCACAGAGCGTTGTTCTGGTGCAGTGCACCATGATTTGATCTAGAAAAACAGCGTTGCATGCTATGAACATGCATATTTTGTAAGATTGTGAATATAACCCAAAAGACCAAACCATTTCATACAATAGAATAGTATAATGTTTATTTGCCAGTAAAGTTTTATCGTCAGACGACTGTCGTGCTAGCTGTTCCCACTGTGACGATAGTTTCTGGTTGTAACGAGAAAAAATCGTGAACGACAGTTAAACGCGTCGTGCTATATGTGAACAACTTCATTTAAATATACAAGCCACGACACTGTACACTGCACGACAATCTGTCATCACGACATAGTGGGAACGCGCCCTTACGCAATAACTCCGCCATTTGTGAACCAATTTTGATGATTATTTTTTTGTTGGAAAGAAGGTACCTCAGATGTGGTCCCATTTAAATTTCAAGAAAATATTCCACCTCTAAGGGTGGCAAACTAGGGGATGAATGAATTTTGAGGTCGGTTTTTTTAACCGGAGGTTAGGTTATTCATTCTTACTTTAACAGTTGGCCTACCTATATTGAATTTTCATAACATAACATAAACATTTCATACAATAGAATAGTATAATGTTTATTTGCCAGTAAACATAATTAATTTATACTGGTCTAAAGTTACATTGTTCTAAACTTGCATATACACAAATATCACTTAATGACATAAAGTAAATTTTTACTGAACATATCTCATACATAAAGTATGGTGACACTGTACTGTTTTATGTCCTAATGATTGTAGGCAACAATAAACTAGATGCAAATGGTGGAAAGTCATAAAAACCTTGACACCTACTTTCTTTTTATACAGACGGCAGTACATGAAGCTACAATCTTGATTGTGTTCCATTGCACTGGGAGCAATATTCAAACAAAAGCATATCTAGCTTGATGTGCTGTTGACTGTGCATATTACAATCATACTAACGTTAAACAAACAAACTCATATGCTTAATGTTTAAATTAACATAACTTTTTTGTACTGTTAATTTACTATTATTATTATATACACTAATTTTTTATTATTATTATTGATTGTATGACCATCAATTGTACAAGGTGAGTTATACATAGTAAGAATATCAGTATAGCTTTGTATAGATTTTATATTATATTGACTGTGAACTGGCAACTGGTACTATCACAATTTTCTAAAGATATCACTTTCTAATACCATTTTATACTATTTCATACTCCACAGTGTTGCAAGAAATTCCACTATGTATTTTTATTTAATAAACCACATGCTATATAAATGACGCAAATAAGTTTTTCCTTCATCGCGTAAAGTTGTCAAAATTGAGATAGTACTGGTTGCGAGTTCACAGCCGATATTGTACAATCAACCACATCATCCACAGATTATGTACAAAATAAAACTATTCAATTGAAGCATTATCACTATTGAATTTAAAAAAAATCCAATGCTAACAAGGAAAATACATTTTAAAAAACAGTTTCACATCCCACTACAGTGCAATACCCAATATTTCAACAACCGCCTTCTTTAATTTGTATTTAGACAGATCAAAAATGTCTACTTCTGACAATAGCTCAATATAATTATGTAATATTCACCATAGAGGAGAGTGCATACCAGAATTTGTCCTACAGGATGTAAGAGCAAATAGTCCATAATGATGACAATATGGTATACCATATGGTAAAGATGTATGGTATGATGGTATGTCATAGTAAAGAAACAAATGAATATTTAGACAGTTGAAAACATCAAAAAGTGAATAAAAATAACTTCTGTGTCACTTACCGCACTCAAACTGTTCCACCATCATTTTTTAAAACACAACAAAATGTGAAAATGTGAACAACTACCCATTCATTACAGTTGACTGAAATTGATTGTTACTATGTTCAGACAAGTTGTACCTACTTCCAAAGAGAATGTTTTTTTTAACTTAATAACATCTGTGTGTACAGTGCAGCTTTCAAGTTACAGATACAAAATTTATTTACAAGCATTTACTTTATTAGTAAACCTGATTTAATGAATTGATTAGTGTAATCATATTAATTTATATCAAGGGTAAAGTTGTACACATCAAGGCTATCTTTACAATTGCACTTTTATTTCGTAAATCGACATATATATTATACGCGTAATCTGAAAACCTACAATGTTAGAAAGACCTACAAGTGTTTTAACAACATCACTATCCAGAAATATTAGAAACCATATGTTTATAGTGAGTTTGCGTCGTCATTAAAGCTTAATTGGGCGAGTATATGAGTCACATATCAAAGACGTCGCAAATGTGTAGGTACTTACCTGGAAAATGGTTGCACGATACTTCGAAGTCACTGCGACTACCCAGAAGGGGCTGCGACTCCCGGCTTAAGCCTGGGGAATCCACGTTGCCTTCGAATCCGATCTCTGGCACTAAATAAATCTCTTCAGCGCTGCTCGATAATGATACCACGCCGTCATCGGGAGGTGCGATGGTTGAATTCGGTTTGTCGAAATCGAGATTCAACAGAGTCTCTTCCGTACTCATGAGTATTGTTACACAGAAAATCTCTGCAGAGCGTCATTTAAGTCTTTGTTTCACAATCATTTACACAAACACTTTTGACTTAACTTCTCTCAACCAGCAGTGTGACAAAGATTATAGACTGACGTGATTGACAAAATGGATGACAAGTGGAAAAAACTCATAAACAAGTTGTTATTTTTTTTTTATTTATGATGCGTTCTTCGTTGCTATAGTCGGTTTGTAATCGATTTCAAAGTCGATGTATATACTTTGTATATAAGAGTATGTATATGTATGTACTTTAATCTTTTTACGTTATAGAGTCACCACACTTATCGGCGCGAAATTGGCTTGAGGCGAATTTTTTTATCACACTAATAATAGGGGTTAAAGTATGAAATTGCCGATTTGTACTGAAAATCTAAATTGTTTATTTATTAAATTTTTAACAAATTTATTTAATCAAAATAGTTGCCATTATTAT